GGCTCAACTTAAACTTGGGCTTTTTTGTATTTATAGTGATCTCCTAAATTTATAGTATGTTCTCCTATTTCCATCCTCATGACAGGTAGTGACAAAGGTCTGAAAATTCAGAGATATGCAGTACTGTGCCTCAGCGGAGAAAGGCTTCCCAAACAACTGGTGAACTCCTGTGTATTATACAGATCAGTTTAAAACAATTTCTGAACATACTTAACTATTTAGGTGTCACCCCTGCTTACAGACTAGGTTCATGAGAACAGCCATAGAGTTTTGAAGTCTGAGAAAAATGAAGTAAATATGAAAGTGTTATCAAGGACAGGGTAAAAATTTGTGAAGAACAAATTCCAGAAAGGGCTACCTGTTAAATTCTCATCGAAATATGCCAAAATTTTCACATTTGCATAGACAGTTTAAATATGGAAATTCTCTACAATGGACTTATCTAAGTGGTGTAAATGAGAAGCCCTAAATAGATATTTTGCAGTGATATCGATAGTTAGGCATGAAAGGTTTTCTGCTTAGGATGGATCAGAGGAGTGTGGAAAAGATGTGGAAGTGACTGACAGGATGCAGGCAGCAAATAGCAGGACATACAACAGAGAGGGTCTTCACTGAAAGTCAGGTAGTTCTTAGAGTAAGTGTGAAGTAAAGTTGGGTTCTGATTGCTTCATTGAGGTGATCAACACCAGCTCTGGCAACAATAAGTATTCCACATCCCTGTCAACCCATAATTTTTGAGATCTAATTTGATTATCTCTAATTATGCCCCATTGTCATGAAGCTGAAATTTTCAATTTTTTTGTACCAAGGAACAAGCGCATGACCTATGCTTTCCAGGCAGGTGTTCATGACACTGAGCTAAATACGCAACTATGAAATGTTTTCTGTGTAGTATGGACGATATCCACATTGTTTCTGAGAAAGTGTTGAATATTGTTGGAATTTTTCTGTATTGTATCGCTATAATTTTTTTAAAAACTAACCAAAGGTGTGTTATGCAGTCTCTTTTTAAGTTTCACTTTATCTGTTCGGTGTCTCAATCAGGGTTTTCTATTTTAGACAGCTCTGTAACTTAGGAAAGCCCCAAATTCAAGGAAGAAATCCTTCACCAGCCCCCAAGATATATTTCTTATATTTGAATTGAAAGTGATCACTTGGTGACAGTGAGGTATAATTTATAGCTTGGGCCTGGTTTCATTTTATATACATATTTTTAAAATACAGCTGTTTTCCACTAACTCTTGAGTTATTATTTATATACCATATTTGATGTTATTTATGTTTTGTTCTATGAAACCAAATTCATGTTTCAAAATGCTGCTTAAGTATATTAAGAACAAAGTACTCATTGGCCTAAATGAGATTTGAACAGACATCATTTGTAGTCTATCAAAGTGATTACTGAGATTTTTTATTTAATTTTGAAATTGGTAAAATAGAACAGAACAAGGCAGCATAAGGTCAACTAAGATCACACAGTGAAATTGGTACACAACTTCACAACAGGTTACTGGGATAACAGTAATAGGTATCAGAGTATATTTTGTTATCTTTGTCATAGTTGTTCTTTAATCACATATATCAAAATGAGATGAAATGCAGAACATTATAGAACTTATCAAAACAGAATATTGAATTGAGCAGTACCATTAATCAGAATAGAGAGAAACAATAATAAAAACATTTTCCTTCAAGGAGATAGTAGAAGGAAGTCCCCCTTATTTGCTATGGTCTACTTCCCAGGAGATGCTCAGATTTCTGGTTCCCATTCGCTAATGTGGGGTGACAGGAGAAGAGCGGTAGGGAAGTGGGATGTTTGATTCTAGGTGGTGCATCAGTAGGTTCAGTGTTGCTTACTAGGGAGACAGGCTGGTTGTTTGGTTTCACAGCGCCCTAAGTTCCAACATAGAATGGATCTTAGGAGCTGCTGCTGGTTATCCCCCTGGAAGGGCTTCAGTTTTCCAGACTGCCACCACTGACCAGGGAGGGGAGGTGCTTGCTTGGCTTCCAAGGCAATTGATGAGACATTTATCTGCCTCTGTGCTTTGTGGTTGCTGGTGCTGCAGGCTTCTTACTGTGAGCTCTGCTTTAGAGAAAGAGCACAGGGAATCTTGCCATGACTCAGCACAAGAATCAGTGCTCCTATTTGGCTGTTATATTAGCAGTGAGTTGCAATCTAGTATCAAATTTGCTGTCTTCAAAAATGTATATAGACACAAAATTAATGACGAAGACATAGATTTAAATTTGAACAAATCAGTCTTCATTCAGCTGTTTTGTTTGGCTTTATTTGTTGAGTTTAGTTTTGTTTTATTGAGACAAGCTTTCTCTATGTATATCAGCTGGGTTTGAAGACCCTATAGAGCCTAGAATTGGCCTGACCTCACTGATGCCTTCCTGTCTCGCCTTTTGAGTGCTGGGATTATACATATGCACCACCACACTTTGCTTTTGATTCAGATTTGTAGGAGAGAATTTAAGATATCCCAAACCTGGTGTCTCAAGCTTCCTTTGAGAAATATATGTATGATCCTTTAGGAGGCGGTGATCTTTGAGGATGTGGTTGTGAACTTCAGCAATGAGGAGTGGAGTTTGCTGAGTCCATCCCAAAAGAACCTCTACAGAGATGTGATGGGTGAAATCTTTAGGAACATGGCTGCAATAGGTATGGATGAAATGTTTTTTGGCACTCATGCTGTCAGAATATTGTTTGTTGCTCATTAGTGCTGTTTTGTTAAAAAGAATATGAAAATATTTTTAAAAATAGCTCAGACCTGGACACATTATATCATAAATCTAAACAAAATCTATTAATTTGTATGTATTACTCAACTGAGTCCTGATATTTCTATGTCTTCAATTCAGGAGGACTTGGGGATATCCAGGAAGCTGAAAAAGAATGCAAAATTTACTGGAGATACTTAAGGTAATTGACACTCACAAGGAGAGGAATGTTCTTGAGTAATTAGTGAGTCAGCAGAAAAATGACCACCAAAGAAATGAGGCACCATTCAATTTAATGTCAGTAATATTCTCCAAAGATGTATAAGCTAGTGTATATATGAGGGAATTAAATCAAGAAAATGTATGACATTGCATATAGATCTGTACGAAAGGCATACACTTTGAGTTATGACATTCTGCCTTCAGCTTTTCTACCCATTTTTACATGTGAATACAACACATTCATTATCTAACAATTGCTAAGATTGCAATAGAATTTGAAATAAAATTGAGTGCTCATGTTTCCAAGCCATGCTCTAGACAATCGGCGATTCTGACTAATATTCTTAGTAGGCTGGTGGAATGTTAGTGCACTCATTTTGAATATCAGTATGCAGTTGTCTCTAGAAATTGATCCCCTCATACTTGTCCTGGATATTTTTAAAATCTCAAACTCTGCATAAAATACTGATACATGCTTACTCATATACAAAGCAGATCAAGTTATAACAGATCAGGCCTTGAAGCTTATCTATCTATCACTGGATTTGTGGAGAAGGAAAATTTTAATAGACTCTCTGTGATTTTACATTCTTGTAAACCCAGCACACTAAGAATCAGATTTTGCAGAATGGCAATTTCAAGGTCAAACTTCACAGCTTAATGATCTATGAAAATCTCTTAAAATAGATTTTTAAAAAGCTATAGATTTATGCTAATATCTGTTGCTCATTCCAAGCCCAGAATGGAAAAAATGTGTTATATAATGTCAAAAAATAAATAATATAATGTCATTTGCCATAAGAATTAGATGGGTCTTTCACCTCTCAATTCAGTGTAATAACTCAGCTATAAAACCTAAAAGGTCACTGGCTTTCTTTTAGATGAGAAACCAAAATACAAAATGTGGAAAGAAATGAAACAGAGTTGTTAGAGAAAAGTAAGACTGAACACATGGAGAAGGGAACTACAGGTTAAGGACAGAAGGGAGATTGTGATGGGGAAACATATGAGAATAATCTGCATGTGATACATATATGTACCCATGCCCAAAGTGAAGCTAAAGATTATGCATTTCAAAGTACCAACTTTTAAGATTTCCAAATGTGTACCAGTCTTTTGGGAATGGTTGTTTTCAACATATCTTACAAGGCCATTCTGTTGCTTCTTGGTCAGAATTTCTTAGCAGGCATTAAAAACAGAACTTGATATTAATGCAGCCATCAAATGGAGACCAATTTCACAGTGAATTTTTCTTTTTTTAAATTTAATATAAGGAAAGATTAAATAAGACAAAATAAGTAGAAATAATACTGCATTCAAAGTGAAAAAAAACAGTAACAAATAGCAAGATGATGATTACAAATGCTGATCATAGAAATAGTTATGAAATACAAAAGTGAAACATATCAAGTGGGGATTCAAACAATGAGACTGCAAACAGTTTTGTTCAACTCTCGAAAAAAGCTTAGTAATATGGTTATAAATCCTATATGTGATTTATTCTTTCCAGAAATGACAAGCTAGGGAAATCTTATGGACATACATCTTGGAAGCAGTGTAAAGAAGTATTCCTTTGTACTGCAGAAGGTAATGTGAATGTGAAAGAAACAGAATCACACCACGATGGTCAGATCCATGAAAAATATTGCAGTGGAGAGAAACCCTATGTATGTAAGCAATGTGGGAAAGCTTTTACCAGACCTGGACGTTGTAAGGAACATGAAAGAATTCACACTGGAGAGAAACCATATGTATGTAAGCAATGTGGGAAAGCTTTTAACACACGTGCAAATTGTAAGGTTCATGAAAGAATTCACACTGGAGAGAAACCCTATGTATGTAAGCAATGTGGGAAAGCTTTTAACATGCGTGCAAGTTATAAGGTTCATGAAAGGATTCACACTGGAGAGAAACACTATGTATGTAAGCAATGTGGGAAAGCTTTTAACACACAGGGAGATTGTAAGAATAATGAAAGAATTCACACTGGAGAGAAACCCTATGTATGTAAGGAATGTGGGAAAGCTTTTACCAGATCTGGATGTTGTAAGAAACATGAAAGAATTCACACTGGAGAGAAACCGTATGTATGTAAGCAATGTGGGAAAGCTTTTACCACACCTGGATTTTGTAAGGAACATGAAAGAATTCACACTGGAGAGAAACCATATGTATGTAAGCAATGTGGGAAAGCTTTTAACACAAGGGGATACTGTAAGCAACATGAAAGAATTCACACTGGAGATAAACCATATGTATGTAAGCAATGTGGGAAAGCTTTTAAAACACGTACAAATTGTAAGTTTCATGAAAGTATTCATACTGGAAAGAAACCCTATGTATGTAAGCAATGTGGGAAAGCTTTTACCAGACCTGGACCTTGTAAGGAACATGAAAGAATTCACACTGGAGAGAAACTATATGCATGTAAGCAATGTGGGAAAGCTTTTAACACACGTGCAGATTGTAAGGTTCATGAAAGAATTCACACTGGAGAGAAACCCTATGTATGTAAGCAATGTGGGAAAGCTTTTACCAGACCTGGACGTTGTAAGGAACATGAAAGAATTCACACTGGAGAGAAACCATATGTATGTAAACAATGTGGGAAAGCTTTTAAAACACAGGGAGATTGTAAGAAACATGAAAGTTCACATTCAATATAAAACCAGTGTATATAGGTATCATGAGAATGGTTTCAGCACATGTTGCATAATGCATGAAAATCTTCACACAGGGCAGAAAACTTACATATGTAAGGAATGTGGGAAAGGTTTCAGCAGAAATGCTCATTGTCCAATACATTATAAAATTTACATGGTTGAGAAACCCTGTGTGTATGTGAAGAATGTGGGAAAGCTTTCACCACACATGGATTTTGTAAAATACATCTATGACTTCACACTGGTGAGAAAGCCTATGTATATAACAATGTGGCAAAGCTTTTACTGCATATAGTCATTGCAAAACACATGAAAGAATTCACACTGGGAAGAACTGCTGGCTATGTAAGCAAGTGGAGACACTTTCAGCAGCCAGATTGTAAGGGAAATACATGAAAAATAGTCACACAAGAGATAAATCCTATGTGTTATGGGAATACTCTCAGCATACTTGATCATTGTTACATATCTGAAAGAGCTCACTAGGCAGAGATGATATGTGGATTACCAATGTGAGAAATATAGCAATCCATGTTTCTTGTTAAATACATAGAAAAAGCATCACTGTTCAGACAGTTTAGATCTAAGTTTACTTTAAAAATCCCAAGGAGACCTGAAGAAATAATCAATACAGAATTTAGATGTCACTATTTCTTCACAAATATTCCAGAAATGACAAATCTGTGGTGGGGCTCTCCTTAGGTGCACATGTTGTATGGTTTTCAGTTAATCACTTGTACCTCTCTAGATTTATTAATCTAGATGTTTTTGTGCTTCAACATGGCATCTTGTAATTAAACATGCTTAACTGAAATGGGCTTTTCACTTTCAAGTATGGATAGTGCCTGTGTACTTAATATTTTGTAGTTAAAACTTAAATTTTGTATTTTCTGGTGAATTGTAATGTTGTTTATTTAAAGAGAAAAAAAGTGTAGAAATAATACAGATTTTCAGAAAACAATAAGAAATCACTAGTTGATTAGTATCATATTGTCATCTTAGAAATAGTTGTTCAAGTTACAAATTTAAAGCATACAAAGTGATATTCAAATAATGACACTGTCACGGTTCACCTCAACGATCCACCAAAAAGTTTTAATATGCCTATCTGTCCTACACACTTTATTTTTCTTAAAGAGGGTAAGATTAAACATAGCGAAACAGAGCAAAACAGTTCATAAGGAAAAAAAGTTAAGGAAACACAGATATCAAAACAAGTCCACTGGAAATGTTCACTGTCTATCTTACTGTCTCTAGTTTTCTTCCAAATAGTTGTTCCCATCCTCACACACATTTAATATATACTGAATATTATAGAACTAATCAAATAATTACAGGATGATGCAAGCTTTTTCGATCTTCAAGACTGGTTTTGGGGAAGTCGATAATGACTACCATAATGTCTCTCATTGTCTTTGTAGTAGCTGTCTTTATCTTTATGTATGCTGAAATGGAACATAAGAGACTAGACTAATATCACTCTGAACAGTGAATAATAGTATCCTGAGAAGGAGAAAGGTGAGGAATTGCCTAAAAAAAGGAGGCAGAGAACATAGTTAAAAGTGTATCAGGATTTAAAAGCTACAGTAGTCTTGTTGCTTGGTTTAGTTTGGTTATATTTTGTTTTGGTCTGTCTACTCATAGACATCTCTTAATTCTTGCTTTCTGATTTGGTAAACTTTTGGATTCTTATTGTTGACTAAATTCTAGGAGTAGGACTTGAAGTAGTGTGTTGAAAAGAGTCCAAAGCTTGGTCTTTTTCCTGACCTGAGAAGCAAATCTTGCAGCTTGTCAGTCTCTGAGCATGATGTCAGTGCTGGGCTTGTCATGTCTGTACTTTGCTGTGCTAAGATTTATTCATCCTGCACATGGTGTGTGAATGGTTTTTATCATGAAAGGATGGTGAACTTTTGAATTTCTCTAAGTGATTTTTCCAAATCTCTTGAGGGTTTAGCTGTGCCACATGCTGTGAATGTGGCAAGTGACACTGAATGATTTGTTCAAGTGGAACCATTCTAGCACCACTGAGGGTGAACTCAGTGTTCATTGTGGTATTTAAAATTTTCATGTGCTGGTGAATTTAGCTGATCTGCATTTGTTGAATATTTTCGTGTATGTTCATTAAGAATATCGGCCATTAGAGCATTACCATTGTTTTAATGCAGTATGTCTGGTTTCATTATCAGGGTGACTTTGTCATCTAAAAGGAATTGGTGGTGGTTCCCTCCCCTTGAAAGACATGAAAATAATTAGTATTTATTCTTTTTCAAAATTTTATTTTGAAGATAGCAAAATACAACAGAGCAAACAGAACAAAGAAAATTGAGACAATGCAGTGAAATTGGTACAGAACTTCACAGCAGGGTCCATGATAACAGTAATAGGTACCATACTATATCTCATTATCTTCACAATTGGTTTCCATTCAATTAGTTATAGTGAAATCCAAACAAACACAGAACATTTTAAAACCTGTCAAAGATAATATTAAATAGAGCAAACAATCAGAACACAGCAAAAAATTAAAGATAACATTTGTTTTCAAACACAAGATAGAAAGAAATCCCCCATAGTTTCTATATTGCACACATTCATTTTCCCAAGAGATGCTCAGAATTCTGCCTCTCCTTGCTAACCAAGGGTGCATAAATGAGATGTATGGCTCTCAGTCCATGCACCAGTAGGCTCACTGGAGATGTTGACTGGTTCTCCTCCTGGCTTGCACCAGGGGTGCTGGCCAGGGAGGCAGGAGAATTGGTTTCTTGTTCAGCTGCCTAAGTCCCAACATGGCCAGATCCAGTATTTATGCTTAACTAAACACTTCAAACAATTCATCAGAATATTTATCATATCCTGGCATTTGTTGTTGTTATTAAGCAGTTATGATTGTTGACTCATTGCCTGTGTTTTTTAATGCTATGTCAAATGGTGTGTTTTCTTCTGAGGGTGTGGGTCAGGGACAATATAGGAGATCATGTACTGATCAAGGATCACGTCACATTTTACTTAGGGATGTAGCAATTTACTTTTGTATCTTCAAACTACCCCTACAGTATATATTTTTGTGAGTAATCTGTTAAGTTGTTTAGTTTTTTAAAGCACACTGTTGCAGGGTGCAGTTACTCCTGGAGGACACTGGGGCAAGGCTAGGTCCAGGTCTCTTATTTCAGGCTTTGTACCATTACCTGCCTGCAGTGTTCCCACCTCCTGACCTGCTGCCTAAAAATAAATGTCTTGCTCCACAGCTGTGGTGAATTCACATGAGGCAGTTGAGATCTCACCTGGGTGGAAGACATTCAGTTAAGGTAGGCTCTGAAACATGCTGATATTCTTGTACAGAGTTCCCCTTAGTGAGACATGGGGCCTCAGGACTGCAGGGAGGAGCTTGGATAGCAGGGCCACAACAGCCCTCTCTTTTTCAGCATTCAGTGTATGCTGTTTGCTGAGAAGCTGACTGGTGGATCAGGAGTCCTGGACCTGAGACTTTCTTGCCCATGGTACACTACTAGATGCCGTGGTGTCCTCCACATTGGTATGGTCCATCTTCCTCCTATTTGAATTTCCACAGAGATCTGAGGAGCCCTGGGCTTCCCCTTCCAGGCTCCAACTCTATGGTGAGTTTTAGTGTGAATTTTATGATCAGGAAATGTAATTTATATACATTTAACCTGGAAATTCCACTTCTACAGACTCATTATAAAATATGAGATTGAGAGATACCTGTGATCTCTTCTTATTCAGTTATGAGGGTTGATAGTTAGAAACCATGAATGTACCATAGCAGAGTTGCTCAGTCAATTATACATTTATAGTCACAGAAAATGCTGAAAGAAGGCCATGTCCTAGGCCTTGTCCTGGATCCTACCTGAGATGATAGAAGAGTTCATATCCTGGCCCTGTCTCCACCCAGCAATGAAGAGGCTTGAATAGCAGGTGAGGACAGAAGAGAGGAGCTCCTGGAGAGCAGAGAACTGAACCTGGGAGGAAGCCTTTTTGGTGTTTTTTCCATTTTTCCATTCCATTGCATTATTTGTAGTGTTGTTTTCAATATTCATTTTATTCAAATAAGTTAGTATTTAATTGTGGCTAGTTTCTTGAATACGTATGTGAAAATGGATGATTTAATTTCATTATATATACTGAAAGTTATGCACAATACAGACATTTCAAATATCACTGTAATTATAAAATAAGGAGGCTTGGTATTCAGCAAGCCAACACATCGCTCACGACTAACTTCTAAAAATTCTAACACATAAAGCCATGAGGATCCTGCTGTGGTGGGTGTCCCTGCCCTTCCTACCATAAAAGTCACCATGCTGACCTGTGCCTGCTACTGCCATAGGACAACAACAGATTTGCTTCAGTGTCTATTTTTCCAGCAAGGAAGTCATAAATCTTCCTGCTTTCAGGCAGCACAGGGAATGTGCAGCTTGCCCAGGAGCCTAGCACTGCCTGCCTTACACCCTTTTCCCCCACCTCATCCATGCTGGAGCCTGCAGACAAGGGAAGGCAGATCAGACAGGATGCAGCAAAACCTCTGATTCCTCAGCCCCAGGGGACTCAATTCCTGGGTCCTGGTCCCAGCCTCCACCAGGATTCAGGTGCTATCCTGAATTCATCTGGATTAGTGGACAGGGCACCCAATCTACACCTCTGGGGATCAAGACCACGAAGGCCACTGCCTTCAGTGACCCTTCTACTCTGCAAATTTTGCTCCTATCTTTGCGACTGAGGCAGTGGCATTGGAACAAAACACAATATTTTCATTATATTTCTCTTTGCTGTTATTTTTTCTGGCTTCTTTGTTTTTTAAAGCATATATTTAGAACTGCATTTTGCCAAAAAAACATTTCTTTGTCTTTTCACTTCCCAGATAACTGAAGTTTTTACAGATTTCTACTGTAGTTCAAACCCTATGT